GAACTGATGTATTCTAATTATCATAATAGAAGTTGGGGTGGTAATTGCCAGTATATACAAAGGTGTTAAATGAGTGTGGATATTATTAGCGGATAAAAAGAGAAAGCCCCGCACTTAGGAAAATCAACGTGCATATTTATTTGACTGTAAGAAAACAAACTGGACTAGACAGTACCCCTTCCCTTGTTCCTTTTTTTTTTTTTTCATTGCCTCAAGCTCTATAACAGACTCTTTCCTGAGGTGGTGGCAGCCAAACAGCCCCAGGGACCCATTTGGGGTAAGAGTGAGGACCTTCTCACCCTCAGTCCCTGTGTGACTGACAACCAAGGCAAATTCACTTTAAGGTCATTAAGATGGAGGCTGAGATGTGGATGTGAAAGGTTTCAGGGTGCCGATTCTGATGCACGCTTTCCAGGAAGAACAAGTGAGATTATATCTCTTAACATTCTGCTTTGGTGTTACCATATGTGCTATGAGCCTACAGTGATTGCCAGGAGCAAGCCTTGGATCCAGCAGAGAGGGTGGGAACAAGTAACCCTGACACCAGGAAAGGAAGGATAGCCTCCCAGGTGACCCCACCTAAGAGCATATGAACTCACTTCCCAGGACGCCAGGGCAAAATAACTCTTGGCTGCATCCCGGCTGGCCATGGAAAATCTCAGCCTGTCCTTCTCTTTCACACAGCTTTGAGCTATATTCTTGACTCTTCGGGACTTTGGTGTCTTCTTTTGTGAAATGGGCCCAATCCCTAAGGAGCCTCCTCTTCTTTATTGCCATCTCACTAGCTGGATCTGTGTTTCAGCAACCCCAGTCTGGGTGGAGCCTAGAGAGACTGAACTGAAGGAAGTGTTACAGTGACCAATGGTGATCGTAAGGAATGCTGGTTTGTTTTAATTCACTAGTTTAAAATCAGAAAGTTTTTAAATTAAATTGTTATTGGGGTCATAATTTTTTAAGTTATTTGTCAAGGTCCTACCTGTTCTAATTTAGATTCTTCATGGTACACTTATTATTCTTCCACCATACCCCAATGACCATCAACTCTCGTGGAGGTTAAACAGTAAGGCCTTGCACCTTGGGGTGTGTTTTATCACAAGGGCATTTATCGAAATATAGAGGCATTTTGGAGTTTTCCTTTGCGTCGTCTCCATGGGTCTCCTTAAGCATATTGTTCCCTGTGAATGTGAATTTTAGTTAGGTTCAGGGCCCAATGACAGTCCTGAAGAGGTGTTTGATTTAAGCTCACTCTCAAGCTAAACAAGAACTTTCAAAGGAGAAGGCAAGCTTATGGATACATCCGCTCTGGCTAATTCTGAGCCCATGTCCTCCCTGTTGGCCCCTGGACTGGCCTAGTTTTAGGGGCAGATTAGAGAATAAGACTTGAGTCTGAGGGAACACTGCCTCACACAGGGCAGTTTTAGGTACTGGAACTTTGCTGCCCCAGAAGCAGCTAACAGTTTCGAGTTTCATGCAGTATTAAGTACTTTCCTATTTATTATCTAATAAAATAATATTTTCAGAAATAAATGGAACGTTGCAAGACTGAAGAACTTGCCCATGTTCATGTTCCTGTAACAGGCATGAACCAGGGCTTAATTCAATCCCAACTGCCTCAAGCTAAACTCTGTTCTGAGGACGGTCCCCTCCATCCTTCCCATTGCAGTCTAGGTTTGTTTGTCGGGTTATGTGCTCACGAAGATGCCTTAAACGGTCCAAGTCTTGTTCCATTATTATCTAATTTGTTTTTTAAATAGCTTTAATTCATTTCCAGATACTTCATCCCAGTTGGTGGCTTGCCTTTTCATGGTCATAACTGCATCTTTTGAGGAGAAGTTCTGAATCTTGAGGAACTTTAATTTATCTTTATTCCCTCTGCTGATGGGTTGTACACATAACGTATAGGCTTCGTCTAATTCTAGGCTACAAAAATGGTCTCATATAGCTCCTCCTGAAATTTTTACAACTCCGAGGTAATTGCTATTGATCTTGGGAGGTGAGGGATAAGGTTTGCTCTGTACAGGAACATCTAATTATCTTCAGAGCATTTGTTGAGGCTAGCTTATCTCCATTGAACGGCCTTCGCCTGTGTTTGCGCATGTCTGTGGGCAGCCACTCCATTCTGCCCACCTTCCCCTTCAGCTTCTTTGCACCAGTGCTGTGATGGCCTGGAGCTCTTCAGTGTGTCTTCACATGCTCCAATGATGCCCTTCTCCTTGAAAATGGCGTCTGCTATTCTAGGTCTGTATTTTTTTATGTTTGATTTAGCGATGGATGTGATTGTAAAACAGCATAGAGAACTTAAAAGATCATTTCAAATATAAAGAGCATGGTACAAAGTACCATGGCTTGTAACTCCATCAGGAAGTAGGAACATTGGGCACAGAATTCCAGTTAGTTAATCAAAAATTATCCCATGTACCTTGCATACCTTGTTTTAAAAAATACTTAGATGATAATAATTTATCTTAAATCTGAATTGGATGTAGTTCCAGTATCAACAGTACTTCAGAAACTGATATGGAACAATGTCTTAGTCAACGTTTGTATCTATTGTCATTGTCCCAGCCAAATGCAGATTTACAGATGATGGAGTTTATTTGACTACACTGGCTGCTACCTCCCATGCTAGCTTTGAGTTTGGGGAAGGGATTTCTTCAGACTTATGGGGAGTTCTATTTTACAGTAATGTGTGAAGTGTTCTGGTATCTGTCTCTTTTATTAAAGCGTAACCTTGTTTACTGTAAGTTCACTGTCTGCCGGGCACAGTGAGGGGTCACTCTTAATTAGGCCAGAGAAACACTGATGATAGTGGCCACCGCTGCCACTGGGTGCTGTTGAGAAAATTACCCTCCCTGGGCCCTGTTTCATCATTTGTCCAACGAGAGGTTTAAGCTTTGAGTGGACAACTCAACTCTAAAGTCCTCTGATTCTTCTTATATCTTTATTTGCTTAAAAATTGTAACCTTTTTTTAAAAAAAAAACAAACAGAGGATATTAATGATATAAATCATGCTGATCACAAAAGGCAACTTTTCCAGTTGGGAAGTCTGGTCTTTTGAGGTCCCTACATACCCCATGACCACAGTGTGGCTCTTTGACTCTGCTCTTACCTGTGACCAACACAACAACTCGGTTGCTGCAATGGCACCTTGCGCAATGCTAATCTATAGCCCTGGAAGCCCTCACATTACAAGAATGGCCACTGAGCCTGGGGTGTTTTAAAAGCTCAGTGATCCCCCAGGTTGATGGGCTAGGTTTTCAAACACAGCTCCACGATAACAGTACAGTATTGAAACCAAGAGGGACTTAAACTTCTTCACTGTCCTGAGTAATCCAAGGCACAGTTTTATGCCCATATTCTGTGTCATCTTAGCTATATTCACAGGGCAAGAATATTAAACAACCTGCTGCTTATCAGCAAACAAAATTAAAATGTATATGAGTTTAAAACAACATAGGAGCCATTACTGAGCACCTATGGTCTTAGCTTGCTTTCCATTGCTATGGTAAAGACCCTGACCAAGGACCATGTGGGCAAGTAGGGAATTCTTCGGCTTATATGTCCCAATTATGGTCCATCAATGAGGGAAACCAAGGCAGAAACTCCTGGAGGCAGGAACTGGAAGACAAACCAGGGAGGAGTGCTACTTACTGGCTTCTTCTCCATTGCTTTTCCATGTTTGTTTGTTTTCTTTATAAAAACCCAGGACCCCCTGTGCAAGGGTGGCACTGCCCACAGCGAACTAGGCCCTCCCGCATTAATTACTAACCAAGAAAATACCTTACAGACCTGCCTACAGGGCAATCTGTTTGTGTCACGCTACCCTATTGTGTAGCGGGTACTGCCAAGCATGTCTCTCGCATTGTGTGAAGTCTGTCACAGTCTTAAAAGCTGGGCACCGCCCTCTCTTTCTTTTGGAGGAAGACATGTGGCACATTTTCTGTTAATGACCAGAGTCATGAAATAGTAAGTGGCAAAGCTGGTCTTCATGTCTGTTTCAACCTCAAGCTTAAACTAGTAATGAGCACATCAAAGACTAGTTCTCAGTACTCATTTCGGGAGGCGTCGAATTTATGGGATGAGCCGGAGCCCTCAAAACCAGAATAAAAGTACTGATGGATCACTTTGGGGTCAATTTGATAGAAGGGGGAATTCACAGGAGGTTTCCCAAAGCAGTTGCTGTGAGCTATATTTTGAAATGAAGGGCATGAATAGCCCCAAAGAGAAAGGTGAGTTTCTGTGAAAGAGATGGACTCCGTGAAGCTGTGAAAATACAAATGACCAAATTATGTGCTCTGGAAGCAACATTAAGACCTATCTCACTGCAGGGTAATAAAACTGATGTCATAGGGATAGAATCCAAGAAATTTCAGTTCTGGTGCTAGGTGATGGAGATACACTCTCGGAATTTAAGTACGAGAAGAACATGGTTAAAATGACATGGGGTTTGCAAGTTATCCAGCAGCCGGTATCAGATCAGTGGAATTTTGAGTGTTTTGAAGGTCAAGAGCAAAATCTCTTAGCAAAATGTACTTGATATTCAAACACTATCTTCATGAATATAATGCTGTGTGACCTTAATTGTACAATGACAGTGTATTAAGAGGCCTAGGAGGAGATTTTAGATAATTTTTGGAAATAAAGCTGGCTAATCTACCATGGTCAAACTGGATCAAACCACTTTCAGGCCCATCACCGCTGGTATTGTGCTGTGTGCAAAGAAGGAACACACAGGGTTATGGATTAAACTCGGGGTTGGGCGAGTAGAAATCTTTTAACAATACGTCTTAAACTGAGTTGAATTAAAGTCCACTTCCAGAAGGCAATTACTGCTCCTGCATGAGGACTAATGTGTTTGGTGAATTAGAGCTGGTTCCTTCCCATTATAAACTCACTAATGCTGACTTGATGTCTCTTCACATTTTTCTAAAGCATTTCTTCCTTTCCCTGTCTCTGTCTGTCTGTCTGTCTCTCTCTCTCTCTGTCTTTCTCTCTCCAGTTCCAGAGACCTAATGACTTTTCACCCCCTTTCCGCTTTGGGACTGTGCCCAATGGCAGCACAGAGAGGAATATCCGCAATAACTATGCAGAAATGCATGCCTACATGGGAAAGTTCAACCAAAGGGGTGTAGATGATGCATTGCTCTCCCTGAAAACGGGGTAAGAATGGCCTCCGAGCTCAGAGTGATATGTTTCTCCCATCCATTAGACACAGATTGAACTGGTACCATAATCATTAAATCAAACACTGCTGCCAAGTTAAATTTGACAGTGCCATCCCAACCATTGTACAAAAGTGCTTATTCTGTTCCTTACTTCTGTGTTACCATCCTGCAAATTGTTTTCTGCTTGCATGAATGTGACCACGGAGTAGAAATGAAACCCATGGACGTGTAGAGGGAAGAATCAAGGAGAGAGCTCATGTATGTTACACATGGGAAGGAAAAGCCTATTCTGGGATCCACGGACAAGGGAGAAATAAAAGAAGAAGCATGCAAAAGTTTTTAGATGACAACAGCTAAGAGTGTGTTGGCTGAGCTCCAATCCCAGCTTTGGTTATCCTTCCTCATTGCCCGTCTCTGTGCCTCTGCTGCACACAAATTGTAGATGGACTGTCACGGAGCTCACCGGGTACACTTGTCCTTTTGTTTGAAAGCCATCAACACTGGGCATTGGAAATGTTGAGATTTGGAGGCTAATGGGTCACACTGCTGTTTCCCTTCATTCTGTGATGACTACCAGCCTGTGGACCTTGTTCGGTCACCCTTGCACCACAAGGTCTTCAAACACCATCTAGATGTGTGGATGCTTAAAATACTGTAAGATGCAATCTTGCTGCTCTAAACAAAGTCACAAGAGACTTCAGAAGATGAGGTCTGAAGCCAGGGTAGGGGAACTCTGGGTAGTTCAAACCGTGGGACACCCATAGCTCCCAGTTACACCAGATGTTTGGCAAGCCACCAATCAATATTTTTTAATAAGATGCATTTTATAAAATGTCCTGTGACTTTCATGTCAGAAAGGACTTGCTTTTTTTTTTTCTTAAAGAAGCACAAAGATCTCCAACTTATAAATGTTTGGCCGGGGCTGGCTGGGCCGGGGGCTGCATGTTCTGCTTCGTTTTGGGCCTGTCACTTGCATGGCTTCATCCGAGCTGCTTCCTCTGTCTTTAATGTATGGACATGTTGGTTTGAAACAATCTGCATGCCTTCCTGCTCTTAGCCAGAATCTTTTCTCTATGTAACCCGTCTTCACAAAGCTCCATGTCTCACACCATGTTCGTATAGGTTTAGGAATTTGAATGATCTTGCTGATTCTGTATGTCATCTTCTCCTGCAGTGTTTTCCATTCGCTTCCCCACAAGCTTGGGCTGTCATTCACCACTAGGGCCCCTCAAAGCAAGGTCTTATAAGACAAGACAATAGTGAAACCTTTCTGACCACCAAAATAGCCATGCATCTCCTGAAGCATGTCCACCTACACTTTCCCCCACTCTGGACTGTAATGAACTGAGAAATGAAAAACATTATATAAATCTTACCCATGCTATTTGTTATCATTGTGGTGCTTACTTTTCATTATTTCTGTTATTATTTTTATTGATTGCTTTTTACTCCTTCTCCTTTTCAGACACAGCTTATGAGTTGGCCTCGGGCCCAACTTATATTCTTATCATTCCTAGTGGGAGGGGAAAAATAAATGACTCTTTTGAACCTGAAGTCCCATCAAGAGCAACAGCCTGGGACACAGGCATTAGGCTCTGACAATAGGCCAACATGAGCCTAACTGGGAGCCAGGCCTCCACGTAGCTTCTGGAACTGCACCACTCATACTAATGGCCCAATAGGTAGTTCTGTTGTGTAATTTCCTCCTTGGTATTTGTTGGTTCCTTTCTTTTCTGTGCAGGAAGCTTGATGCTTTCATCTACGATGCAGCAGTGCTCAACTACATGGCCGGAAGAGATGAAGGCTGCAAGCTGGTGACCATTGGCAGCGGCAAGGTCTTTGCATCCACTGGCTATGGCATTGCTATCCAGAAAGATTCCGGGTGGAAGCGCCAGGTGGACCTTGCTATTCTGCAGCTGTTTGGAGACGGTGAGTTAAAGAGAGGGGAAATGTTCACTTGGCCTCAAACCATGGCCATTCTGAAATAGCAACCTTTCTTCTCGGGGTATTCAAAACAGCTTGTCACAGGATATGATAAGAGCCCTTTTTAGACTGGTAGGACCGCCATAACCAATGACATGGATGGAGTGGCATAAACAGTAGGGTTCATCGTGTTGAAATTCTGGGCACTATAGCTAGCTTCACTTGAAAGTGGTAAAGGAGAATCCTCATGCTTCTCTATAGCATGAATCCTAACTGCTCTCAAAAATAAAAACCCAGAGTCAGATATCAGGACAAATGCTGAAAGATCAGAGAAGTGAAGGAGCCAGCCACTAGAGAGATTTTTTTTTTTTACCTCTACTGAGTCCTCAGACTGAAGGGGGCAAGATCCTGTCTCCACGAACCTACAGACTAAATGTGCTGAGCTCCTGTCTCCTCCCGCCTTATAGTCCTCTCTCTGCCCAGTCATGTCTCTTCCTGTCTCCACATCCCGAGTGCCCCTTTAGGTGAGCCACCACCACCTGACTCTGTTTCTGTTTGAGAGTGGCTCAATCTAGTGTAGCCCAGGGTGGTCTTGAACTCACAGAGATCCATCTGTGTCTGCCTCCTCAGTGCTGGGATTAAAGGTGTGCACCACCACTGCCTGTCCTCTATGGCTCCTTAGTGTGGCTATCTCTGCATTCCAATCTTCAGGCAAGCTTTATTTGTTACAGCACAAACAAAATACCAGCACACTTGTCACATGTCTTTTGATGCCTTGTGGTTCTGCTTGGTCTTCCTTGACCTGTGAAGGCACCACTTAGGTCTCTACTTTCATTCTTCCTGGGTATGTGTTTCTGTTTGATGTTCATCTCTCTCTGAATTTGTTCTTTTCTTAAGGCCAGTCATATGAGATTAGGGGCCCACTGTGTTCCAGTGTGACCTCACTATGATAAATTACATCTTCAATGACCCTATTTCCAAATACATCTACATCCATAGCTACCAGTAGTTATTGTTGACTGAGGTTTTCTGTCCTGCCCAGTTCCCACAGTCGCTGAGTCCCAAAGAAGCACAGAAGTCTACATTAGTTTTAAACTGATTGGCCTAGTAGCTCAGACTTCTTATTAACTCATATAACTTATATTAGCCTATTATTCTTGTCTATGTTAGCCACGTGGCTCGGTACCTTATTTAGGATGGCAGTTACATCTTGCTTCTTCTGTGACTAGGTCAGGACTGCAGACCAAGCTTTCCTCTTCCCAGAATTCTCTTGTTCTTGTTGATCCACCTCTACTTCCTGTCTGGTTGTCCTGCCTCTACTTCCTGCCTGGCTACTGGCCAATCAGTGTTTATTTAAAATATAATTGACAGAATGTAGACCATTGTTCCACAGCACTTCACCCTCTTTAAAAAAAACAAACAAACAAAAAACAAACAAACAAAAAAAAAACAAGAACTCTGAGTCTAATATCCTTTGTTTAGCTTTTCTCCTGACCATTTTCCATAGTCCATTTCATAGTTTTCCAGGCTACTTTCTACTGGTTAGGGGTGCTGATAATCTTATGGGGACCTAAAGAAAATTTAGAATTATGATCAAGTCCTGACTGGAGTATGCTGTGAGGCTTTATCATCCTAGGCAGCAGTCTTGAATTTGTTCTGGATGTAGAACTCAGATATCTGGGCCATCCACTTCTATCTGAGATTCCCCAGGTGGTCTTCCTTGATCAAACCTGATTTTTCTTAACTCAAAATGAATCCATAGCCTCTCATTTTTTTTGTGAAAATAAAAGCAAAACCTCTTCTCCAAAGTAACATATCCTTTATTCAATTTTGAAGTCAAGGCATTTACAAAATATTTATGTTTTATTAATCCAGTAGCATTTATATTTAAATGTCTTTTAACAGTTGTTTCTCCTTCCTCAGCATTCAAACAATTCAAAGAGAAAATAATAACATACAGTATCCATACTCTCTGTGTGTTTTCTATCTTTACATGGCTTTATTTTAAACTCTATTTCTTTTATTTTTAATTTTTGACTTTTTGAGACAGGGTTTCTCTATGTATCTTTGTCCTGGAACCCACTCTGTAGACCAAGCTATCCTTGAACTCACAGAGATCTACCTGCCTCTGCCTCCCAAATCCTGAGATTAAAGGTATATGCCACCACACCCAACTACTCTGTTTATTTCTTATTTTAAGGACCTTAACCTTTTTCTTTTCTTTCCCAAGTCTGCATATATTTTTAACACACTGTAAAACATTTAGAGGTTTTCTCCATCTTTGAATCTCTCTTTACTATCTCTGTCTCTTTTTCTGACCACATGAGTCTTTAATTTGCTAAGCAATATGGAGAGGATTAAAGCCGTGGCTTTGATGGCTAGATCCAGCCCATTCTTTAGCTTTCTGAGATTCTAGCCTCATGGCAGAGGTACAGGCTGTATCCATGTTTATTGCCACAACTCTTTGGCATTGCAGTGTCCCTGCCACCAAGCAAGGTGTGACAGTGTGTCCACAAACAACATTTAAATGCTCTGTAGCCAGACATCCTGCCTGAAAGAGTCAGAGTTTGTACTAGCAGGACAGTCCAGAAATCCAGCATTTTAAAACAATGTGGCTTTTTTCCTTCTATGGCTGAAAACCAAAAAGCACATGGTCAGCTTTTCATCAACTCCATTTAAGTGTTTCATGGCAGGACCTCTTAAAAGAGCTGCAAAGCTTTTCAGCTAAAGCTGAGTCAGGAAGCCTCTCTTAAATGAGCACTCTTGCCTCTAGCAAGCAGAACCCATCTGAGAAAATGTTGCTATCAATAAGCCATGCTTAACTCTATTCTTCTTTGTCCAGATTTACTTCCCAAGCTCTATAAGACTTTATGTGGATGTAGTTGTCCATGTGTTCATTTGTTGACTGAGGTTTTCTGTCCTGCCCAGTTCCCACAGTCATTAAGTCCCAAAGAAGCACACAGAAGTCTACATTAGCTATAAAGTGATTGGCCTAGTAGCTCAGAATTCTTATTAACTTGTATAACTTATATTAGCCTATTATTCTTGTCTATATTAGCCACGTGGCTCAGTACCTTATTCAGCAAGGCAGTCACATCTTGCTTCCTTTTGAGACTGGGTCAGGACTCCAGACCAAACTTTCCGCTTCCCAGGATTCTCCTGTTCTTTTTGACCTGCCTCTACTTCCTGTCTGGTTGTCCTGCCTTTACTTCCTGCCTGGTTACTGGCCAATCAGCGTTTATTTAAAGTATAATTGACAGACTACAGACTATTTTCCCATACCAAGGTATATATATAGCGCAACTGGTAACTTGTAAGTTCAATATATAAATCACAAGGGAACATACTTGCACTAGGTAAAAGATGAAGAAAGGGATTAAAGTAGCTGGTGACAGGGTACATTTGAAGATTGTGTGGTATAAGGAAGCCTTCAGGGATGCAGTAGGCTACAGTTAGATGCCTCAGATAGAACTCCATGTTTCTACTCTTAACAAAACTGTAGCCCAAAACTGTAGGGTGGTATTCTATATGTTCCCAGAGAAATGAGTATGTGGCTTTTTCCTCATCCTCCACTCTGCCCTGCCTTGATGGTCATGGCTGAAAAGGTGGAGGGAGATCTAGTTATCAGACAGTACTTTACTGTGTCTTTCCAGGGGTGGACTAAACACTGAGAAAGTTTGCTTCATTAAGCTACTATCTTTTGAATTTCTCTTCTCTTCCTTATGCAAAGCATCAACTCTTCCCATCAGTCCTCACACACAAACTAATCCAGATGCAGATGAGTCTCCCTCTGCAGGGTTCTCCAGCGCATCAGCCATGTGGGTTTATCAGTTATGACTGTAGGACCGTTGTTTGTCAGGGAAGACATCAGAGGCAAACCCAGAGGTGGGTTTCCAGATTACAACTGAATCTGGCTGCTGCAGTAGTTAGGAAAAGCATTGTTAATTCAAAGAAGGGAATAAAAATGAGTAGATTCCCATCATGAAGAGCAGGGGTTTGTAACTGGGGAGTTGGCAAACCATGTTGGAGTAACCACTAGTCATAGCCAAATAGCTCCTTAGTCTATAACCAAGTACATCAGTAGAGAGGTCTTCAGCTTTCACTGGGCCATGCAAAGTTCAGACTTTCATCCAAACCAGAATCCTCTGACCAGTATCCTTCATGAGACTTCTAGAATTTCATTTGTGTGAAATTAGTGACATTCTAGGATATACGCTTTATTTCATCTTCTTTTTTGTCTAAGAGTTTCTACTGACTAACGTCTACATGACTCCTCTTTTGCTTTTCATATTTTTCTCTATAAGAGATTGTGGGAGCCCATGTGACTCAGTTTCCATCTGGAGTCCATTCTGACTTATATGTCATTTGGGTTCAAGGTTGCCTGCTCTGCATTATCCAGTAACCTTGAGAGCTGTGAGAGAATTCTGATTTAGCCTGTGAGAAAAGAACACTCTATCTAGTAGACAGTCTACTGCTGATGACAAACCTCGGAAACATCAAGATAGAAAGTAAGGCTGCTCCCAAGCAGCAAACGCCAGTTAGTTAGGAGGTTGCTCACTCAAGGACAGAAATGATCTTGTTAGACACCGACTGACCATCTGTGCTGTGCTTTGTTCTGCTTTTGTATATATGCAAGTTCTGAAATAAACTCTGGGCTATCTGGCTCTTTCAGCATGATCAAACAGACCTCCTGATTCTATCCTCTATTTTCTGTCTCTGTTCCTTTCATCTGACATTTCCTCAGTCTTGACGACCCCCAATCCAGGAACCCTAGCTGACTTTGTAGGAGCTGGCTCCTTCAAGAGATCTGTAATTCTGAGAGACCATAGCAATTCAATCTCTCTCCAATCTCTTTCAACCTCTCCTTCCCCAATCTAATCTGCTCTGTATAAATCCCATTTTTTGCCCATTTGATTATGCTATCCCCACTGTTTATAAAATAAAGGACTGAGTATTTAACCTCAGAATGCATGCATTAGATTTTTATTAAGCTTTCTTGCTGAGCATCATTCTGTTTGAATTGTTTATTTATTTATTTGTTTATTTGTTATTTTTGCCTCTCCCTAAGCCCCTGTTTCCCACCTCTTCCCCTTTGATTATGCTAGTCCTGCAATCTGGAATGCTTTTATGTACAACATACATTAAAAATCCATTCCCACTCTCAAGTTCTCTCTCTTCTCTCTCTTTTTTTTCTCTCTCTCCATATTGACCACTTTGCCCACAAACTGTTGTTTCTAATTTGAACCCTTGTTCTTTGCATATCATATTGTGGGTAACACCGAACACTGAGATGCCAGTTTTCACGGGATAAAGGAGAGCCACAGGGAATTTCCATGGCCTTATATCGTCTATAGTTCATTCGTTATGATTTCACTGAATACAAGGGGTATACTGATGAGTTGAGATGTAATGATATTAATAAAAAGTATTCATTTTCTCTCTTGTTTGCATCTCTTTTTGTCATGTTTTGACCCCCTTCAACTCTCTTCCTGTTTTGTCTCCCCTTTTCTTTCCTCCCCCCGCTTTATCTGTTTCCTTCTGTGCCCTCTTTCCAGGGGAGATGGAAGAACTGGAAGCTCTCTGGCTCACTGGCATTTGCCACAACGAAAAGAACGAGGTTATGAGCAGCCAGCTGGACATCGACAACATGGCAGGCGTCTTCTATATGTTGGGGGCCGCCATGGCTCTCAGCCTCATCACCTTCATCTGTGAACATCTGTTCTATTGGCAGTTCCGGCATTGTTTCATGGGTGTCTGTTCTGGCAAGCCTGGCATGGTCTTCTCCATCAGCAGAGTAAGTGTTTTGACGTGGAAACCTAGAGCTTGTTGAGGACGGTTAAGCCTTGTTCTGTGCCAAGCAGAGAGACCCAAGAGAGTGCTCATTGCAGACTTATGTGGCTAAAGCATGAAGCCACATCATATGCTCATCCCCAGGAATCTGTGTGAGAGAAAGCTGAGCGTTTCTAAGACGGGTAGTGCTGTTTCCTTCCATTTGAGACTCAGATGTTCGATTCACAGTTTAAAAAAGGCGGATCTTGCAACACAGAAAATTTGAAATTTCCCCATTTTCTTTTTACATCACCATCAATTGATTCTGTATAGACTGCATTAATCACTTGATCCTTTAATAGGAAGGTGTAACATATCTTAGTCTGACACTTGAAGGCAAATTGCCGGTGGTCTTACTGTTCTTAGATATTAACCACGTGTGAGGTATGAGAAATTGAAGAGCCTAAAGGTTGGGTGTGGTGGCACATGCCTATAGTACCAACGTTGGAAGAATGAAACAAGAGGATCACAGGGGTGTGTATGGGAATGTGCGTGTCACTGACATAAATAACATTTAAAAGAAGCTAACAGAACCCAAGTCTTGACTTATAAGAAAATTATATTCCAGAAACTTACCTAACTGGGGCAAGACTCCAGGCTAGGTTAGGAATCCTTATTTCCAGTTCAGAGTGAGGTATCAGGAAGACAGTTGGGTTTTGAGATCTTCATTTCCAGTTCAAAGTGAGGTATTGGGGAAATAGTTGGGCATATGAACCTCAGATCACAGAGGGGATTGTTTTAAAGGGTAGGAGTCTCCTGGCTTGGCTAATGCAGCTGAGGGACTCACAGACACGAGTGGTGAACTCTCATGATCTTTGAGGATTGAGGACTGTGCTCTGTATATTACCAACCTTGACTCAAATGGAGCTGTGAAAGGGAATGGATTTCTCATTAAGTTGTTTCATTCTCTGGTCATTTTCCCATAGTGTTTTAGTGGCAGGGGACAATTTCTCCATTTCCTCTCCAGCTGTCAGGTAATGCAGGTCATTCAATCACATAAGAGCAGGAGAAAGGAAATTGTGGGACTCTAGGTCCCTGGGCCTTGGGTTCCTCCATGTAACCCTTCCCAGAAGCCACAGAGGCAACAGAAAAAAAAAGAAATCTCACCCGTGGCCCTCTGACATGAACATTGCCTTCACAGAGGAGGACACCTAACACGTCCCCCTGTCCACTGTCAAGGGGTCAGAAGTGAGAAGCAGAAAGAGGGCAGAATGCCCCCCCCAGGAAGATCTAGTGTCTCGTAGAGTCTGACACTTCTTCTCCACATAACTACCATCTTCCTTCTGACCTTTCCTGTTCTCAGCCCCGCCCATTCAGACGAGATTCCTTCCCAAATTATCATTCTCAGATGTAAAGGTGCAGTTCAAAGTCACTTCCCTTGCCATCTGCCTCCCGTGGTGGCCCATGAGAGGTGAGCAGTAGGGTGACCTTTTTCTAGACTTGGGGAGACCGGTGCCAGGAAAGAAACCCATCTTTTCTCATGGATTCTGTCCTTCAGTGCCCTGAACAAATAACTCTATGCCAGGTATTCTTCATCAATACTCATTTGAGAAAACATTAATTGATTATGATAATACTTAATATAAGAAGATAACGGAGCTAAAAAGTGGATAGATGCGAGACCTCAACAAGGGAGCTATTTATTCCTAGAGAGCTCTTGCTATTCGTCCCAGTTCTTCACTCCCACAGTGTAGGCCACAGCAGTAGAAAATCCTCCTTTGATCCCAGGGCTTTCTAGTTCTCTGTGCGACTCAGCTCATGCTTAGCTACAGAACAGCATTGTCCCCTGGTTATTTGCTGACCAAAATTCTAAAAGCTGCTCAAAATCAGTCAGAGCTAGAAACAGGAGGCCATGGTGAGCGACATCAGCCAGGAGTGGCCAACCAGAGCAAAAGGGACCCAGAACCTGTGGCGAGAGACCCTGCTCATACTTTTTTGCCACATGTTTATAGCACGGATTCTTTTATAAATTGTGAAAATCTGAGTACAGGGAGGAAAATCAAGATAGGTCATGTTAGGAGCTGAAGCACAATTGCCATGTCGTCTCTTTGCTCAAGTCCCTTGGTATGAGCACCCCCCTCTCTGATGGCCAGATTACTCACCTCATAATAGAAAGTTGCTAAATTCAAGGAACTACATTGGCCAAGCTCTGAGTCACATGTCCTGTGAGCATAGTTCACTGATTGCCTCGTGCTTCCCCTATCATCTTGTCTTGCCCCATTAGCCCATCCGTGGTCGCTCTGCTGTCTGTGCTGTGTTTCCGTTTCCCTGAACTCAACACCACCATCCTGTTATCCCCTCAGGGTATCTACAGCTGCATCCATGGAGTAGCTATAGAAGAACGCCAGTCTGTGATGAACTCCCCCACCGCGACCATGAACAACACACACTCCAACATCCTGCGCTTGCTCCGCACAGCCAAGAACATGGCCAACCTGTCTGGAGTAAACGGCTCCCCTCAGAGTGCCCTGGACTTCATCCGCCGCGAGTCCTCCGTCTATGACATCTCTGAGCACCGCCGCAGCTTCACCCATTCGGATTGCAAGTCTTACAACAACCCGCCCTGTGAGGAAAACCTGTTCAGCGACTACATCAGTGAGGTAGAGAGGACATTTGGCAACCTGCAGCTGAAGGACAGCAACGTGTACCAGGACCACTATCACCATCACCACCGGCCACACAGCATCGGCAGCACCAGCTCCATTGACGGGCTCTACGACTGTGACAACCCACCTTTCACCACCCAACCCAGGTCAATCAGCAAGAAACCCCTGGACATCGGCCTGCCCTCCTCCAAACACAGCCAGCTCAGTGACCTGTACGGCAAGTTCTCCTTCAAGAGCGACCGCTACAGTGGCCATGATGACTTGATTCGATCAGATGTCTCAGACATCTCCACCCACACTGTCACCTATGGCAACATCGAAGGCAACGCAGCTAAGAGGCGGAAGCAGCAGTACAAGGACAGTCTGAAGAAGCGGCCGGCCTCGGCCAAGTCGAGGAGGGAGTTCGATGAAATCGAGCTGGCCTATCGTCGCCGCCCACCCCGCTCCCCGGACCACAAGCGCTACTTCAGGGACAAAGAAGGGCTCCGAGACTTCTACCTGGACCAGTTCCGAACAAAGGAGAACTCGCCTCACTGGGAGCATGTGGACTTGACCGACATTTACAAAGAACGTAGTGACGACTTCAAGCGAGATTCGGTCAGTGGAGGTGGGCCCTGTACCAACAGGTCTCACCTCAAACATGGAACAGGCGATAAACATGGCGTGGTAGGTGGGGTGCCGGCTCCTTGGGAGAAGAATCTGACCAATGTAGATTGGGAGGAGCGGTCTGGGGGCAACTTCTGTCGCAGCTGTCCCTCCAAGCTGCACAACTATTCCTCTACGGTGGCAGGGCAGAACTCGGGCCGGCAGGCCTGCATCAGGTGTGAGGCCTGCAAGAAGGCTGGGAATCTGTATGACATCAGCGAGGACAACTCCTTGCAGGAACTGGACCAGCCAGCTGCCCCTGTGGCTGTGACATCTAATGCCTCTTCCACCAAGTACCCTCAAAGCCCGACTAATTCCAAGGCCCAGAAGAAGAACCGAAACAAGCTACGCCGGCAGCACTCCTATGACACCTTCGTGGACCTGCAGAAGGAGGAGGCCGCCTTGGCCCCACGCAGCGTGAGCCTGAAAGACAAGGGCCGATTCATGGATGGCAGCCCCTACGCCCACATGTTTGAGATGCCAGCTGGTGAGAGCTCCTTTGCCAACAACAAGTCCTCAGTGCCCACTGCCGGACACCACCACAACAACCCTGGCAGCGGCTACATGCTCAGCAAGTCGCTCTACCCTGACCGGGTCACGCAAAACCCTTTCATCCCTACTTTTGGGGATGACCAGTGCTTGCTTCACGGCAGCAAATCCTACTTCTTCAGGCAGCCCACGGTGGCAGGGGCATCGAAAACAAGGCCGGACTTCCGGGCCCTTGTCACCAATAAGCCAGTGGTGTCGGCCCTTCATGGGGCTGTGCCTGGTCGTTTCCAGAAGGACATTTGTATAGGGAACCAGTCCAACCCCTGTGTGCCTAACAACAAAAACCCCAGGGCTTTCAATGGCTCCAGCAATGGACATGTTTATGAGAAACTTTCTAGTATTGAGTCTGATGTCTGAGTGAGGGAAGAGAGAGAGGTTAAGGTGGGTATGGGAGGGGTAGGGCTGTGGGCCGCGTGGTGCGCATGTCCTGGAAAAGAGTCAGGGGTGAACTTGGCTCCCATTCACTTTTTCTTGTTCTTTTAATTTCTCTATGGGATCCTGGAGTTCTGGTTCCTACTGAAGGCAGCCCTCGTGGCCGGCCCCATTTCTCCTCCCTCCGCAGGTCTCTTCTCCCCGCATCTGTCTACCACCCCTATAGCCATGAGAGGATAGAACCGGCCAAAGCGTGGGAGGATGGAGAGGAGAGGAGAGGAGAGGAGAGGAGAGGAGAGGAGAGGAGAGGAGAGGAGACAGGAAGTGATTGCTGCCTGTGGGCTTCTTCCTAGTGTGGAAGTGCTCTGAGCCCTGAGAGGGAGGCTTTCCTGAAACTGCTCTTTTTTTCGGGCGAGGAAGTGAAGGCAACCTAAGGAAGACCCTTTGGCCTCCCCCTCATAAGAGAGAAGGGGCTTTTTGCCAAATTCTTGCTGTGTGGTTGGTGGTTGCCTAGGGACCCTGTAAGCAGCAGAGGGCAGGAAGTGATTCTGTGCTTATATATAAGCCAAATAAAAAGTTTGCCTCAGCCCCATAAAACTGCAGTGGCGAAGCAAGGGGGAAGGCCATTGGCAGACAAGGGATTCCTGAGCAAATTGGGACGTTCACTGTAATAGTGCCCTATGGTTCACTGGAGGCAAGAGCAGAGAATTCTGTGTCCATGTACACCTGTACCCGCGTGTGGTCAGCTGCCTCTAGGTAAAGAGGGGGGAACCTTGGCTCACTTGCCTTCTTCCACAGGCTTAAGGAATATGCTTGTTTTGGCTTATATATAAACCAGTGCCATAGGTTACCAGGATTTGGGCTAGCTTTCCCTTTTTCTTTCTTCAGAGAGGATAGAGGTTCTTGACAAAGAAGATTCTCTACTGTAGGAAAAAAATGACAAGAGAAAGGGAAAAAGACCGAGACAACCCTACAGACTAGTATGTCAGTGTTGTCTATAGTAACTATAGCTTAGGCAGAGAATTTGCCAGTAAGGCATAAGGGAAACAGAAGCAGCCATGAATCTTTTATCCAATCTCAGAGCAAAAGGTTCTAGAAAACTCTTTTAGGCATTTAGCTCTTTGACTGGCTAATGTTTGAGGAAGGACTCTCCACAGAAGGTTTTGAAGAAGAGAATCATTTACAGTAGGGTAAGTGAGAGAGGGGGATGTTTTCAATGCTTTGATCCCTTCTTACTTAACCTAGAGCTGAAAGGGTAGACAAATCTCTCCAAAGCAGGCGATGAGTGACAGGGGACAGACAGAAGAGAAACGAGCTTGTCCTCCAGGGCACAGCTCTGGAAGCCAGAGAGAGCGAAAGAGATTTAGAATATGACTTGAACTAACATGAACACTCCTGAAAGAACCTTTCCTCTTCCGCAACCCCCAGTTCCCTCTGATTGTAACACTCAACAGTAAGCGTGTGTGCGTGCGTGTGTGCATGAGTGTGTGCACGTGCGTGTTATGTGTGTACGTGTGTGTATGTGTGTGTGTGTGTGTGTGTGTGTGTGTGTGTAAAACTCCAGGTCCGGGAATGGGGGTACTGGCAGGAGTGATGCTCCCTCGCTTGAAGTTGGAAATTGAAGAAGGGAAATGAATATTTGTGTGCCTGTCCTGAAACTTGGGGTAGGGGTGTTCTATGGGTCAGTTCCACTGTCCTGCCGTCCCCTCACACAGGGTGGCATCCAAAGAGCCTGGGTTTGTTTGGAAGCATGACTGCAGAATCGCCTTGTCGCACACAGGACACATAAACCAGAAAGGTGCTCACCTTCCTCTGGAACGAAGCCGCCATGTCTCTTCACGTCACACCCTCCAGGGCTGCTCTTTGCCTTCCTGGTTGCCCTGCCTCACGACCCTCCCTCATCTTCCATCCTCGACTGCTGTCTCCCACCTTCCTCCTTGATTTTTACCTCAGTATCTTTCATTTAAAAGCCAACCGAAGGCCTTGTTTTCTTTCTAAGATGAACGTGGGGGCAAGGGGCTGAACCTCTCAACAGTTTGGAGAGAGGAGCGTGGAGTGCTTTACTTTAGGTTCCAGGAAAGACTCTGAGAGAGGTCAGAGGGCGTGAGGCAACTCCCGGAGGAAGGAGAAGGGCCATAGAATCATTGCTTCACTCTGGCTCTGTCCAAGGGCCAGGGGCTCACCCCTCACTCTTCCTCTTACCTCACCCCTTTAAAACTGAAAAAAGAAAAAAAAAGCAAACCAACTAACCTAGCGAACAGCAATCTAGAAAACAGGGGGCTCTGATGGTCTCCACGGGCCACAGAAATCAAGATGGTGTTTATTTCATATGTAAATATTTTGTTTTCTAATTAATTTTGTATAGATAAAGTGGTTTCCTGTGAGTATTCAGGGTGTTGAGCTGGAGGGAGTGGGGTGGGGATGGGAATGAGGGGGGAATTATTTTGTTATGGGTTTTCATTTTTCTGTTGGGAGGAATTGTTTGTTAGATCCTTTGCTTTGGAGTGTCTGGGAAAAGTTCATGGGAACAGAAGCCACAATGGTGAACAAGCCAGGGGAAAGTCATTTCTGTCCATGCCCTGCCTCCAAAACCTGTCTTCCTGCTGGTTTGTGAGAAGTGATTGTGCACTTTTGGCCTGAGTTTTGCAGGGTCCAAACCAGCATTAAGCAAAACTTGGTCTGACTCTTGTCTTCTAGGGAGACCAGGAAATTATGACTCTGTCAAAGACAAACTGGTGGCATCCGATTTTTCCTCGTCAGTCCCTGGGCTTGCAAAGGTTCCCCAAAGGGCTTGAAAAAGAAATGAGGTCTACTTACCTCCCATTCTTGGAGTGACTGAGAGGTTTCTGGAAGCTGGATTCTGAGAAATCTCACAGCAGCCTTCTCTGATTTTTAACCATCATCCTACCAGTCTGACATGTCATGCTCTAGTACCTGACCATCCCATCCCCCTTCTGTGTGCACCTATAGAAAGGACCACTTCAGGCACACCCAAGAAATGTCCATTCTTCCTCTTTCAGCATCATATGGCTTCAGGCTGTACAAGGACAGCAATGGATACAGGGGTCTTACAGATTTACATGCCTTTCTAGGAACGTCACCCAATCCCCTCAAAAATCATTAGCCTAGTAAAGTAATAGCTAAAATTAGTTTCAGAGGTGGGAAAGAGGTCATGTGAGGGACAGTACCAATGGTGACTTTATAGTTGCCTTGTTCTCGTTACTGCCATCAGGAGGGTGCTATTTGGTTCGAATTAGGTGACGCAAATCTGATTCAATATTAACCAGACAAATACAATCTCTTTCATTGGGTTGTTGGCTTTGTGAAAGATAGCAGCCTCTCTCTCTCTCTCTCTCTCTCATTTCTAAATTGATATGCCCAGCATACTGCCCTTCCCCCCTACTCCCCCCTCATTAGAAGCTGCCAGTGAGATAATTTAACTGTCCTAAACCCCTTATTTGGCCTCAGTTGATTTCTGCAACTGGATTCTTGAATTGGGACCAAAGTAAGATATTCATGGCCTGCTCTAAAAAGAATAAGGAAATGAAGTCTGTCAAGTTTTATATATGAAATTCCCCAGTAGCAAGTCAGTTGGATACATGAGGAAGAATTCAGCAGCTGTTCCCATCTCCATCCCTGATGGTTATGAACCAAGACCCAATCCATCCAAAACTGTGAGGTTCTGCAGAGCCCCGAGGAGCATCTTGTGTTCCGTGGTGTCCTTCAGAATCCATGCTTTCTCTCACAAGTGCTCTCTCCCATTGTGAAAGTGGGTTGATGGATGTAGTCCCACATCACTTCTCCTAGTGGAGATGCTGACACTTCAGCATGCCCAGTGACCTCAACAATCTGATCCTTGAATTTGCCTGAGCGAAGATGTGCACACCCTTTCAGAGTGCCGCATGTACAGTGGACCTTGTTATTCCCGAGTTGTCACTGTCTATCCTCAGCCAGAGCTTGGGAAGCACCCTCGGTGTGTCTTCCCTGGGACTGGCCACAGCCATTTTGTGATTGGGGACAAAAAATCCCAGATGATCCCATTAAATGTTGGTGGTGTCAGCAGTGCCCAAACGCATGTGTAAAATAGGAGTCCTCTATACAGTGACGTGACTATCACTTGCCCAGTCTTCCACGGCCACCAGGAATTGCCCCAGGAAGAATTCTCTGCAGAGTGCTGGTCACCTGCACCTCTCATTTGAGAGCTCGGGTTTCTTTTGTTCTTTCTTTCTTTCTTTCTTTCTTTCTTTCTTATTAGTTCAAGATGTAGGGAAAGATTAATGTTTGGGCAAAAGCCTTTGGGAAAGTTATTCCTAAGCTCACTTTTTTTTCTTTAAATCACCATCTCTGAAAAGGCCCCGTCCTTGCTTGGCACCCTGTGTGTGTCTGTTTTGGTGTGCTAGGAATGACTCAGGTGTGTGCATAAGTGATGTAATGGCAGTTTACTGGTGAATGTGTTCGGTGTTTCTGGGCATTGTGGCCATACTATATGTTCCCAAAGCCATATAGAAAATGTGCGATCTTGGGGCTGCTGAAACAGTATGGCATTGCTGCCTTTGCTTTCTTCACCTTCTTGCTGCCTAAGGATTCTTTAGGGGCAAGAAGCACCCGGAGGAGGTCAGTCATACTGGGGTAGCTCTGGCCTTACCAATGGCAGATAACCTGTGGCTCGCTTCCAAGATCCTGAAAGAGCCTGCCAACTGTTGACTTCCCAGGCAGATTTACTCCATTAGGGCTGAGCTGTTCGTCTGCTGTTGAAATGGAAGCATTCCCAGGAAGAGTGACACACTAAGCCATATTAGGGATTTGTACATTTAAACACCTAATCTACATTAGGATTTTCATTCCTTTTTCTGGGAATAAGCGACCGTAAGCCAGCAAGAGAAAGCAACAGGTGCATCACAAAGCAACAGAGCAGGGTGAAAGGATAACGGGTCCAGAAAACAAGTCATTTAAGCCATGCTTCATCTCTACCTGTTTAGTTAGGGCCCATGGGGACCCTGCATTAGGAGTTCTACCTGGGATCTATTTTCAGCACACAGTCAAGTACACAGTTTGGAGATAGCTACATCCTATACCACATAGGGCAGGTGAGAATTGTGACCCGGAGAACAGAAGACAGTCGCCTTTCCTCAAATGCAAGATATCAAGTTGAGAGCTACAAGGAAAAATGTTCAATCGCATTTAGTATACAATCTATTAGTATATTATAAAAATCACGCATTATTTCTTCTCTGCTCTAGATCAAATAATCTGCCAGTTAACTAATTTGCCTGCGTTCTAAACGTTCCTAGTTCCCTTCCCAATATTCTCTGCGAAGGAACCAGTTGACCCTCAGGTATTGTTTAACCTGTGGACCTACGATATGGTTGGGTCAATGTTAAAATGCTCGTTCGTCATTCTGAGAGCTTGGGATATTGATCTAGGTCTAGAATTCCACCTAGTGTGGGAAGGTCACCATCTGTATGGTCCCAAGCTGGATGAACACATTCTACCATCACCCCAGTATCACCGCACAGGTCCCTGCGGGTTCCATGGCTTGGTACGGAAACTATCTACTCCCACAACAAAGCCGCTGTCAAAGCCTTGATCCAAAGGCAGTGCTTTTTCCCATGCCTTGAAGAGATTGGTGAAGTCCCAGTTCTCTAGGTAGTATAGAAGTGAGGAGAAAGAGCTTTGCTCAGAGAGTATTGAGTGGTCCTAGCAATGCCGGCAATGGGTGGAAAATATCGGGAATCTGATGCGTTTCTCTGCCCCAGCATCCTTGTTCAGTGACGTCAGAGCTAATCATTGTGAACTGCTGGTGATGTCCATATCTTGCATCTGCTGGTGTGACTGGGACTGGTGGTGCTACTGGGGACTGAGAATAGGCAATAGAGTGGACGGTAGAGCTGCTCACAGCCTTGGGATGCTGGTTTATACCATCTGTCTTGGTGAAAGTGAAAGGGCCCTTGGTGCAAGGATCACGTTACAATGAAGAAGCACAATTCTAAGCTCATCACAAAACCATAATTTTAAAGCTATGACTTCCAACTTGAACTCTGTTTATCAATTAATAATTATTTTAAGCTTGTGATTTAAAGAGTGGTTCAAAAAAAATAAAGTAAGAAGCTCTACATAAATATGTTAGTTCAACTAAACCAACGTCTGTTGAGCATTTACTATGTCCTTGAGCTAATGCTGAGAAATATAGAAGAGATTTTAAAATGGAGTATGTTATACTCGTGTAGCATATGCACATGCATAAGTATAAAATATTTAAATGTGTATAAAATAGGTGTGCATAAATTTCTGTGATTTGACATGCAGGTTTAATATGTTCTGGTTTCAGGGTTTGAGTCAAAGGTATCCATTAAGTTACTGAAGAATACCACAGGCATCTAAATCTCCACATCATAGTTGAGCCTGGTCACTTCTGGGATTATCACACATTCTAAGCTAATGCTCAGAGATTCCCTCTCGGGTCACAACCGTGCATTTTTCTCACTCATCTTTGCCAGCATCACAGCCGAGTACTCTTTGTCTTGTGCACCAGACTCCCCTTTGCGATCTTTTGGGGTCCTCTCCAGACAACAGGACTTCTCCCTGCGGCACCTTCCCTCCCTTCCGCACAGCTGACCGCGTTCATCTCAAAACACAATCTGGCAGCCATCTGTAAGGACAAATCTTTCCATTCAGTTAGACCCTTGAATCCCAGTCTATCTCTGTTTATCTGTGTTCTCCCAGCCTTCTAGAACGGATAGCCGTTTTTCACATGCACACCCAATGTTTATAGCTCTGCAATGAGTCTGTAATTCACTACTCACCTACAAACTCTAACAGCAATGTTTCAATGAGCATCTTGCTACAACCCAACAGTGTTTTTCTTTTCCCTGCTATTCACCCTTAGGTGTTACCCTTTGGGAAGTGCTGTGTTCTGATTTGCATCTTAGCTCTCAGGTCCCCTATGACCTCACTGGCTTCTGCTTTTGCTCAGCCTTGACTTGGTCTGTGTTCCAAGTTTGATTCTCCATGTTAACTTTTCATGATCTTTCCGACTTCCACAGTATCTCTGGCTCTGAGTGAAGCCAGACCCTCTTAGACCCTAATTTTCTCTTCAGCGTAATGCACATATTTCCCATCACCTCGCTTCAGATTGACACAGATACCCAGATCTACACCTACAAATCAGCATAGTGATGAGCAGGTTCTCCTGGCTTGGTGGTTCCATTGGTCACCTGTTACCACACTAAAGTTTTGCCAGGAATTTTTGCCTCTTTCATGTCCCTGATTTTGCAAGTATAATCATTTGGAAAACCTATTGATTCTCACTCAAAAGTTTTCCCGCCTCCCTTTCCTTCCAGGCCCTTCCCTCCCTCAGTGACTATTTCAGTGTTTGATAGCATTGTCCCAAGAATCATGTTTTGGTCTACTCTCACCAGTTTGTGCATCCTGACCATACTTATTTCATCGTCCTTAACTCCGGATGACAAGCCTTTACTGAGCTCCTCTTGACATGGTTTTCCAGCAGGCAGCACCTTAGTTTCTGTGCTCTTTGTGACGGGACAGTTCAATTACATAGCTCTCCCTTAACATTCCTTAGGCATCTAGATTTACTTGGATCTCTTTTCCCCAAATGTCTTGCTCCCAACTCTTACCTCCCAGCTGTCTTGCATAATCCACTCCCTCTCTACAAGTCTTCAAAGACAATAACACAGCAACAGCATCTGTTTCCTCTCACAATCTGTGCAGAAAAACAGAGACATATTATGAATGTCCATGACATTTTAATTTTCTCTCCTGGGTGGCAACCATCAGAGACCAGCTTCATAATTGTTTGAGTGTACATATTGTCTCCCCTGCTAGATTCTAACCAGGTCATGGCTGAGTGTTCCGAGTATGCCCTTGTCTTAATGATGTTTCTTTTCTCACCCTTTCTGATGCTTTATAACATTGAGTTATCGAACACTACACCTCCTGACATATAGCTCAAGTAAAAATACATCAAAATTTCAATGACTTGTTTCAGGGAGAGTTTTAGTGTCTCAACTCCTCTTTTCTCTGTAACTGTGGTTGGACTCATTGCCCTAGAAGAGACAGTATCACTTCTGGCCTAATGCCCTTCTTGTTCTCTATTCCTTATGCAGTCTTCACTTTTTCCCTTGGTTCCTTAGATCTACTTAACAAATATCACCTGTTTGTCCTGGTTAGTGATTATCTCTGTCTCTGAAGAAAGTCTTGGGGCTGGTCCTGTCCTCTTACCTAACCTGCTCTGGTACCAGCTAATGGTCTCTTCCTTTCTCCTGGCCAGCCTCCTCTATAAATCTAATGATGGCATTGGTCATGAATTATTCTCCTTTGGGAAGCATCTTCTGCCACCGAGTGCTAATTTAAAGCATACTGTAGTGAACCCAACTCGAATAAGTTACAGGCAGGCAGTGACAACCCTGCTTTTCAAAACAGCAGGCAGAGTTCATTCTTCATCAAGACAGGAAGGGGTAGAAAGATTATTATTGGCAAGCTGGAGTGAAACTTGTGACAATTTAGGAAGTATCTAGTAAAAATTAAAATGTTAAGTCTAAAGGGATAGGTTTTTTTTCAGTTTTAATAGTTGTAGATAGTATTGATCCTAGGAATGGGGATAATTAACATTGGAGAACAAAGTCCATCTCATGATATTAAGAGACGCTGGTTTTAAGCCATGAAAAAGACTGGCACTGGCTAATGGATGTGTGGAGAGGCAGCTGTTCTCTCAAAGAAGGCATCCAGGAACTTCTGTTGGACCAATGAATGGACCAACATTACAGGCAGTTTTACATGATTATTTTATGTCTTATTCTATCTGTGTTTTAATTTACCAGTACCTGTAAAGGATGATAAAGTCAAAGAATAAGAGGCCCATAATAGGACTTCCCTTCACGTCACAAGTAGAGCTGGGGACCTGTTGGTCCCTGGCTTTTAGGGTCCCTTCAGGAAGTAGAGAACTCCCAAAGGACCTTACTTGAGGCTGATGGCTTCCCACAGTCCCATTCCTTTGACCACAGACGATTTGCAAAAACTCACCCTAACATTGGAGAATGATTTCCAGGTGTCTTCCAGATGAGGAGAGAATTGTCCTTGGTTGTAACCTGAGAGACAGAAGCAAGGCCAATTAAAAATGAGGGACATTACAAGGGGCCCATTCCAAAGTGTCTGGGGACTTTAGGCTGTTTGATTACATGCTAGAAATGCCAGGGGAGGTGTCCAGAAAGAACGCTGACCCTGAGGTAGGGAAGCTGGACACAGTCTCATCTTTGAGGTCCTAAACGCTTACGGGACGTCTCATCACACGTCATCCCTGAGTCAGCATCCTAGTCCTTTGGATGACACCCAGAGAGCTGTCGATCGCCAACCACTCTGGGCACAGAGGGCACAGCTTGTCCTACCAGCCTAGCTGTAGAATAGTAACCTTTATGAGCCCGCCTCCCCTTTGCAGGAGGAGGCTCTCAGTGCTGGCATCTACGGACTGGAACTGCAGGCAACGTGGTCATAGGGACGTGAAAGTGTGCAGGGCCCTGCTTCCTTCAGATAATGATATGACTTGTTTCCCAAAGGCATTCTTTCTTCTTTAAAAACAAAGCAAGCAAGCAAACAAACAAACACAAGCTATCCCTTCCTGAAGCCTCCAAATAGTCTATGTAGCTGCCATTGCCACATTTGAATTGTAATTATTTAATTAATTATTATCAATCACTATTCTCTTTTGAAGTCAGGGCTATGTTAATGTTGCTATAAGAAGCATTGGCAAGCAAGAGACTTTGTTACTTTGTTGTCTTGGTCTGAGTTGTATTTTCAGTCTTACAAATCAGTGTCATGTTCTTCACACAGTTGCTTATAATTCAACGACCCCTTTACCATTACTATTCTCCCATTTGTGTGTCTACCCACCACCTCGCAAACACATGCACATATGCACATGCACACACATACATACCCAATATTAGGATGAGAAGTTGAGATACATACAGAACATTCATGTAAACGTGAGATTTAATTTTTCTAAATAGGACTTTTACCAGTATAGTTCTACTAACATCCCCCACCCTGTACAGAGATGGCCAAGATGTACATAACTTAGCATCTTGGACAAGAGGAGAAAAATCATTTTGTTACAGACTTTGAGAATCTTTGGCATTTTAAATGACCAGGGAAATGAGTTCAGTTTTGTCTTGGTAACAGACAAAAAAAAAAAAAAAAAAAAAAGGATCACCAAGACAGGTGAAGGGCCAACCCTTCAGCAGTCTTAGTTAATGCCACAGAGAAGGTCCAGGGCACTCGCAGTTTCTAGGAAGATGCCACTTGACTTTTTGGAGAAGGATGGTGTTTGTGAAATCACCAGCAACTCACTTGGATCTTCACCATATTTGGCTTCTGGCTTCTGGCATATTCTAAGTAAACCAAACAAATCAGCATGTGGATATGGGATAATTTACCGTCAGATCTCCAGACGGCTTCCTTGATGGGGACTTGTGGTGAGTTTTAGTTGGACTGAAGCCCAGAAGCACTGGGAGAGTCAAAGCTTCTATTATAAACTGTCTGCACTTTGTACCCCAGGCTATCTCAGAAAGTCATGCTATGTGAGCTGCTCTCCAAGTTGTTGATACCTAACAGTGGAGAAAAGTCATGAAATCCAGGCAGCTGGGTTAACCAAATCATTTGCACAAAATTCATCTTCCCAGATCCCCACCCTGCCCATCTCCCATAATGCGTCAGTCTGCAGAAACCAATCAAACGGTGGAGCAAAGCAGGAATCTGCAAAACAGAGATAGAAAAGTTTCTGTGATGAAGGAAATTTGAAGAGCAAATCAAGATGTTTGAATGTTGTGAGGTAAGACATGTCACCTTACATGTGCCATGTAACTTTTATTATTCAAAATTTTTATATAATGTGTGAGAAGCCCAGATCTCTCCGACTGATACCCAAGGAAGGGGACCTTTTAAGAGTGTATGCGAGGCAGTCATGAAATGCTTAAAGTGTCAGTAGTTTGGGCCAGCCCACAGGGAAGGAAACTTCAAGACAGAATTCTTTACATTCTTTTCCCAGGTAGTTGTATCTAATATAGCCTGGTCCTAATGTTAAGGCATGAATCAGTTCCAGAAACATTACAAAGAATAATAGTACAACTCACAGATGCAATGAACTTCTGACAAAAGACCCAGTGTCCCCTAGAACCCAAATAAATAATGATTATCTGCCTAAATCCTGGAGGTTGGGGAACAATGGCATCTGCAGAGAATGGTTGTGAGATTTGATTTTGCCCCCAAGATTATAATGGTGACTTGTCCAGCAACCATAGCTGACAGACTTCTGCAGCTACATTCTCATACAACCTATCTGCTGCCTGATGAATGGAACCAAGTTTGGGAAATAAAACCCACCTTTTCAAGAGGATAGCATCTTTAATTTATATCTCAAGAGGTTTTGCTCCTTATACAGGACAGTGTATACCACGATTGGTGAAATGCTCTACCTTAATGTAAGCCTGAACCAACTTAATCAGTCCTTCCTGTCCCAGGGAGGATGCAGCAAAGTGGGGAGCATCACTTTTGCCGTGAAGGCATCCCAAGAATCTGGTTCAAAAACCTGGTGTGGAGAGAGGAGGAAATTACTCATTCCCATGCATGCGGGGAGGAATTGAGACCAGTGAGTGAATGCTCCTCAAACTGAAAGTTTAGAATCAAGTTGGTGACAAATAGCATTTCTCTCCCACTCTTGTGACGCCTGATAGCTGGCATAAGATCATGTTGGTACATGTAGAAAGCTGAGAAAGAGGGCAGCCTATTCCACCTTGGTGCCATGATGACTTCATTTTTCTTACAATTTTCATTACCTATGTCATGATGCTCCTTAGTAACATAACAGGGCCAAGACCTGGTGGGTGTTGGAGCATCTGATCCCCCTGAGATGACCCTTCCTTCTCTGGTGCTATGCTCAGATTCATCGTGGAGCAGAATGGAAGGAAGATTCATAGGACCCTAAAGGCATGGGTAGAAAATTACTTAATTGAAACCACAAAGCTCTTGTGTTTAATATTAAATATTAAAATGGAAATGAAAAAGGCAACCCTCCAGCACAACTGCCCACAGTACAGATTGGGAAAGCATTATGGGAAAAGGTTTAAAAAGCAAGTCAAACTAAAAGTATATACAGAATCAGGGTAGCTTCCTATTCTGAGGGTATTACAGCTGGCGTGGATGCTTCCTATGCATAGACAGAATTAGGGAGAAGTCGATGTTGGAGCCTGGGACTCTCTCCTTGGAGCAGTGTCCACATGAACCTAGACCCCTTGCTCCTGACCTTAAGGATAGACTGCAATTGCTCTCATAGTGTAGATTGAGTTCTTCCTAAGCCAGGCTTGCCCCCCTGATCGTTGAGCCCTGGAATAACTCATAACCTTTCCCTGGTCTCTTGGCCTCGGTCACTTCTATTAAAGAACAATCCTTAAAGCCTATTTGGGTAGGCCTGTGGGATGAAGCCAACCTGGGTGAAGGTGGGAAATGGCCAATGAGATTCAACCCTGAGAAGAGAAGCCTCGCAGGAGCACGTACATGCCCACTAACCTCTAATCTAGTCGGAAAGTCAGAGAGCTTTTGTGGATGTGCGGTTCTTTCTTTCAATGAAACAAGGCAGAGCGTTCATATTCTCTCCATCTGCTGCTGGTTCTCTGGGATGCTAAATCTGCTTCTCTTCCCAGCAAGAGAAATCAGACTAAGAACAAAAGCCTACCCTTCTCAGACAGCTGTGACAGTCTTCTTTCTGCGTGTCTTGGCTTCTTGTCTCTCTCTCTCTGTCACATGATGAGGAAATCTTCAGGGCCATCTCCCACCAAACAAACCAGCAAAGTACGATACAGAAATTCGCAAAGAATGAGCAGTATTAGCATATTTCATTTAATCCCAGTGGTCTTTGGGGAATCGCATTCTGTTTGTAATCCACCTCACCTCTGAGACCCTTTCCTCTCCTAGAAGTCATGCTAACAATAGGAATTTCACTGCTTCACCGTTGACAAAAGGAATGAGAGCTATGTTAGGAAACCGACCCAAATTATTTATTTTTATAGCCACTGAAAAGTAGGTTTTATATTGACAACAACTCTTCCAGTTCTTCCCATAGAAATCCTTCTTGACCTCTCGGTCTCTTGCCGTATATCCCGATTCGACTTCTTGATTTGGGTTCCCTCTCTACCATGTTCTCCTGTTATAGAAGAGTGTGCCCCTTCCAATAGATTCTTATTTAAACAGGTTGCTCAGAAGAAGATCTGAGAATTAATTTCTCATTGGTTTTCTTGTTCTTCTTTAATTTGGAAAGGAGTTAGAAAAAAATAGTAAGCAAGAAAGCAAGCACGGCCTTGTTTTCAGAGGCTTCAACTCAAGGTCAAGTGCCAGGAAAGTGAGTGTCCCCAAGTGAGAGCCGAGGATCTGCTGAAGGAAGGGACATGCTGCAGAATATTAAGCAGCCACTGAGCAGGTACACATGGGCTTTGGTCAAGATGATGTCTGCGTACAGGGAGGCTTTAATCTCTCACCCTAGCTCTCCTCCCCACATCCCTCTTTTTCTCCATCATTTCAAGGCACAAGATCCATGCTTGGAGAATGTTTTCGTTTGAACACACCGATGGTGTCGCACTCTTCCCGGCTTTCCTGTGCCTTAGGAACAGAGAAAACCAGTGCCTCTAAATCTTCCAGCCAATGAGTTGTTGCTTGTCAGTTCTGAATTGTTCATAGTACATGCTATTAAAATGAGAGAAAACTCGAGTGGGAAATAGATTCAGTGACAAGAAGCCCAGCGCATTGTTCTGAAATAATGTTCTTCACCAAGCTAAGCCAAATTCCAGGAGTAAAAGAAAGGGGTTTAGAGCACAGGAGAGGATAATGTTCAAATAGTTCATAATGTTCAAGATGCTCTGATTATTCTCCTTAAAACTGTTGTCCATCACCCCCATGAGCTCTCGTGGAAGGAGAAGCCTGCTGCCACTGATTGCTCAGAGACAGCTGGATTTACTTTAGAAACAGGTACAGGCTTTCTTGCAGGAAGGTACTGGCCTCAGCTCGTCAAGAACTCATCTCCAGACCTTAGGGCAGCTCCTCACTGACCATCTCCATTCTCCAGTCTAGAATGTTCTGAACAGAAGAGCTTCATGCTCATTGTGATGGCAGTTACTCAATTTGGGAAGCCAAAGGGCACAGAGGAGAGTAGAATATATCAAGAGAATGGAGTTAGTGTAAGCTTTGTTATTTCTTCATCTTCTTCAATTTCAGCATGGCTTGACATCACAAAGTTAGGTCACCTTTGAGAGAGAAAAATCTCTTAAATAAAATTATATCTTCCCATCCTGGTGGAAACACCAAGTTTTCTAATCTGATTATTGTTTACTCCAGGAATGAAATTGGTAGATTCAATTACAAACAGGCATTTTGAAGATTGCTTTAATCCTGATTCTTACACACATTACCATGGAATTTACCGGCTCAGACATGATCCTTTAAGCTGTAAAACCTCATTAAAGGGAAATAGATCATGTGTTATGAACCAACGTGGTTAAAAGCATGAAGTAAGGCTCCCAAAATTCAGTCCATCAATTCCTCTATAGCAGAAGGAAGTTGTGAGCCCAGGAGAGTAGGTGACTGAGGAGGAACAATGGGGGAAAGGAACAATGGGCACAGAGAAATGGTCAACAAGGCTTGGGGTCATTTTTTGAATATTAAAAATAATAAACCCAAAGTCAATTCTCAAATCCAAAATGAGCTCCACATTTGCCAATTCAATGTTCGCTTATATAACAAATATCCAGGGTCTAAAGATTATTTATGTTCTTTGAAGAGGGATCGTGGTGACTTTTTTCTGTTTTATTTTACTTTTTATTGGAATTGCATTTGGAAAACATTTGTCTGCAGTTCTTGGGTATGTTTATTCTTGCAAGGTTGTTTATCGGATGGAAAACCTGTGCCAGGGCAGTCTAGGTGCTGGGAGTCAGTGCCTCACACGGCAGGTTCATGTGTCACTGAGAGACTGAGAGGAAACTTTTCATACGCTATAGTAACTTTAAGATTGATATATATGTATACTATATATGTATATATATGTATGTATACATTAGCTTTATTGATGCTCGCCTAACACCTAGGTGAAATGCAGGTTAGGTAACTAGGTTAGTTTGAAGGTGAGGGCCCAGGGAGGAATATTTTTTTTTAATAGCCTATCTTGTGATGACCAGAATGATCCAGTAGAGAAAGAAAGTTGATGGGGCTTGGAAAGAGAAGCTGGCGGCAGGAGTGATGCCAACGATGAGTCGGAGGGCATGGAATCTGACATGCAAACAGGAGGACCCATGTAGCGGCTGCTGCTGCTTTATAATAGAGGGGCCGGGGTGTTGGGCACAGATGCAAGTAGGCAGCCAGAGCTGGGACTATGTCTGTGTTGATGGAGATTATTCAGTGAAAAACCAAAAGAGCTCACCAGCTAAGAGTGGTAATAACTCAAGACTGCTTCAGTGATCGAGCCAGGCAGAGGAGAAGAGCTGGTTGTCTCTGATGTACGTCCTGCTTGATTTGATCACTCTATCTGGTTTTATGTGGAGGAGAGTTGAAATGGTCCGGAAGCGACTGTGAGGAACAACTGAGCCGCTTCTAGGCTGGTGCCGTGACAAACGTGTGACTGGAACGCGTGCCACTCAGTAGGGCCGTTGGAATCTCAAGGATGACAGGACAGTGACAGAAATGGCGAAGGAATGAGAGTTAACGAGAGATGGAAGACGGGCTGCTGCAGTAGTAGGCGGGCTTCCTCTTCTAAGATGGAAGTGAGAGCAGCTCTCCTGAGCCTGGTTTACCCGTAGTTAGGGCTGGTGCTGGGAGTCTTGATCAGCCTGCAGTGACAAGGCCTGGTAGCAGCATGTGGCACTCTGCTGGTTCATCAGTACCAGTTTTATGATTTTTTAAAAAATACTGCAAGGTCCCCGGCGGCAGTGGGCTCTGGGAGCAGCCAGTCCCAGACAGAGACAGCTGCTGGCGGTGGCTGGTCCCGGACAGGGAGACACATGGTGAGAAGGCAGGAAACAGAGACATGGATAGACACGACATGTAGAGTGAGGTTGAATATTTATTCAGGGGGTTACGGAGGGGGAAGGGAGAAGTATGGACAGAGAGAGAGAAAGAAGAGGAGAAAGGGACAAAGAAGGGGGGAAGCAGAGTGAGGGAAGCACTTAAGTCAAGAGGGGGGCGGTGAGAGTCAAGATGAAGCGCAGGGGTTGGCTTGCCTCTTAAAGAGAGGAAAACCATAACACACCCACCCCACCTTTTCACTTCCACTACCAAATTTGACTTTTGTTTAATACTTATTTGCTTGGAGACAAAGTTCAGTCCTCCTGCCTCAGCCTCCTGAGTACGGGGATTGCAGGCATCTACATCCCGTCCTGGTTTGGCTCTGTATGGTTTCTTAGGTGTCATTAGCTGCGCCCCTGGATGGAAACAACACCACAACTCTTACCTCCCGATGACCGCATTTCACCATAAATCTTGCCCTTTCTGCTTTAAATGCTTCCAACTAAGTTGCTCTCCCTGGGGAAATTCGGAATTCTTTGTTCTTATTTATCTTGCCCTTTGTTCATCTTTTGAAAGAAATCTAGAAGAACAGCAAACAGCTTTGCTTCCGTCCAATCCTAGCAAATGACAACAGTTTCCCCTGACTGAGCATTTTATCCAGCACTTTCTTTTATAAGAGAGAACAATGGGCCAGGAGCATCAGGAAATGATTGGGCATCTTTAACCACTTCAGAGGGAGGAACGTTTTGGATGATTAAGATGGGGTTAGAGAAGAAAGGTTTAGAGGGGCTGCATAGGGAAAAGGGAGGAGGGATACACTGGGAAAATATTAAAAATTTGACCAAAGGCGGTGGCAGGGCTTGGGGGTGGGGTGGGGGAGGGGGACCCACTGCGTACCATCTGGCGATGTAGCGAGCATAAACAGGACCCTGCCTTCTGCACAACATTCTGCCTATCTGACACCAATGATAGACTGCTCTGATTTCATTTCCTGGGCCTATAGGAAATCAGAATTTGAGGAGACAGTGGGCGTTTCTACTGAGCTAGTTCTCCTTACCCTACAGAATCTTGAGCAGCGGGCAGGTAAGATTGTAACTGCTGTGACCAATTCAGTTTCCCTTTCCACCAGAAACACGCACCCTCCAGCTCTGGCTTATCCTCCCTGCCATTCCTTTCAGAGATTAGCTGCCATTCACCCAGGCTCGTCTAATGCCTGTCTTCAGTTCTGCGTCAGAAGAGCGTTACAGCCAACTCAAGGGTTTAGTCCATGCTGTCTGCACCAGTGCTCCCTAGAACTCCTGTAGCAAAGGCTACAGGGGGTGTGTCGTGACTGCTCTAATTCCTGCCCAGCAGGAACCCAGCCGTTCAGAAGTCAAAGGGACACATCATGGCTTCCATCTACCCAAGTCCCCTGCTTCTGATCACCACACCAACATAACTGGGTATGACTATGTAAGAATCTGTGGGAAATGGCGAGAGAGGTGAAAGAAAGGAGACAGGATCTTAAGTGGGAGGTTTGTGACCCAAGGGCCACCCCAGCATTCATACCTTAGAGTAGCCGTTGACACTTGCAGAAACATGTCCAGGGAGCTAGTTGGAATGTTAGCATGGGGCCAGAGAAGACACGGGCGAGGGCAATGAACTCTTCTTACCTGTAGGGGAAAATCTCTTCTCTTCCAGGGCTCTAACAGTGTCGTAAGTACACGTAGCCACAATGACAGAAGCATGTCCGTGTGTGCCTGTGGGTGTGCGTGGGAGTCTGAGTGGGAGTGTGAAGGGGTGAAACACTGGACGCGTGCACAGCGGCTTGGGCTGCAGTCACAGAACCACACCTCTCCCAGAGTCATTCTGGCTGGGGTAAGGGTCTTAGCTTCCCTGGTTTGGTGTCCCCTGCGCAGGGAGAGCCCTCAGGCTTGCCTAGACTCGGTGAGGCCAGATCCCACATTCCTCCCCTGGGCCAGCTCTCCTTCCTCTTGACTCTCAGATCCCCAATCCCATTCACTTCCAAGTTCTTTTAGGTTGTTTGTTTTGTTTTTGTTTTCTGTAAATATCGATTTCTTACTTTGGACATGCAGGGATCAATTGAGATTCTGGAGTGGGGGGAGGGGCGGATGACTGGGTCTTTTAATTTTTTTTTTCTTTCTCTCTTGGATTTTGGTGTTTGAACTTGAAAAAAATACTTACAAGTATATATATAAGCAAATGACTTACCTTTAACAAACAAAATAAGTTGATTTCATTCTTTTGTTTTATCTTGTTTCTCATTGGGGTAGGGTGGGGGTGGGGGGTCTTTTGGGTGGAGGGCTTTTTTGTGAGCTGTATAGATTTCCAGTTTGGACTTGTTCAAATGATGCAGGAACAAAAATTAAAATGAATTAAAAAAAAGACAACATAAAAACAAGAAAAACCTTTGTGATGTATAAAAGCTGTACATAGTCAAAAATCCTTTCTCTTTTCTAATGGCAAATTATTTCTGTCACTTTATATTCAAAAAATAAAGAAACCTACCACAAATTATCAGGGTAAAAAAATTAAGTATCAGTGTTTTTTTCTTGGACTTTGTGTTTTCTTTACAGTGGTTTAGAAAGCCTTATTAAATATCTTTCTTGGGGGAAGAAAAGCCTTTCCCTGCAGGGTTTCTGGCCGTCAGTGTTCCCCTGCACCATGAATCTGCCCACTGATGCTAAGATCTCTAGGTTATGAGTTAGATGAGTTTAAATAATCATGGTACAAAACCAATCTTTTTAGCTTCCTAAAGGTTCTTTATTTCATCACTGTCAACCACATTTTGTTTTCTTTGCAATATGAAAACAAGATATATCCAAAAGTAGACAAAAATGGCACAATGAACCTGCAGGTAACATACAGCTCCTATGATCATTGAGTTATGATAATGTTTATTAAGTTTTTAATCATACCTCTACTCCAAGGCCTATGAGGTGGCTCAGCTGGTAAAAATAGTTATTGTTAAGTCTGAAGACCTGAGTTCATTCTGGGGACCTACATGGCAGAAGGAGAAAAGGGACTCCTGCAAATGATAATCTGATCTCTTCACAAACACTGTCATAAATCAGGGCATGTTTGTGCACGCACACACACATACACTCACACACAAAAAAAATAAATAAAAATGTAATAGAGTCCATTAAAAACAATCATACCCCTACTTTGGTTCTTCTCCATCATCTTAAAACAAGTTCCACAATCTGAGTATTTTACCTGCATTTCAATGAGGTACCCCTAAAGAGGAAGAATTTTTAGTATTCACAGTGCCATTATAACACAAAAGTGCCACAACAGTTCCTCTACAGCACATATCTACTGCTCAGATATTTCACTGTATAAATTTAATGTCACTTTCTAAGTTTTTTTTTAAACAAAACACCATAAATCACATACAATCCTCAAATTCCACAGCTCTTTCTGAAGATTATCTTGAATCTATGGACTCACCTCTTGACTGTTTTTTCTCTTGGAAGGTACGTGCATTGCAGTTGCTGCATTTTGTCCTATGTGGGGTTCCCTTAGCTTAATTTTAATGCTTGCATTCTCATATTAATGACCATCATGTGGTCTGTCCTCTGTATTTCCTACAAATTGATTGTTGGTTTGATGTATAATCAAATCCTTGGAGAAATCAGAAAAGTCATCTGGCTTTCATGTTGGCTAATATAAAATGTATCTGTAGGAATTAGATAGCCAGAGGCTCAAGTGTCACCCAGGTTGCCAGCAGTAACCCTGGTCTAGTTACAAAGGTATCTTGAATGAGTGTCACCCAGGTTACCAGCAGTAACCCTGGTCTAGTTATAAAGGTATCTTCTGCTTCCCATAAACAAGAGGAAAAGCAGGACCCCATCTACTGCTGCTTTTCTCTACAGTGCTGCTCCTCCCTCTCTTGTTGCCGTCCTACCACTGGCTATGTATGTAGACGTTGCAAGGTCCTTTCTCTGTATCTTAGTTTCCAATTTACTCATGTTAATAGTTTCTCTTTAGCTGTCTCGAGTGATGACATAAAATACCCGCTAGAGTTAGTGTCTCAAAATGCAAGCAGGGGCCACATTCCAGTGTCACTTACTGAAAGCAGTACGCTCCACCTCTCGTCCTAGTATCAGAAAAAATCATATGGAGGGCCAATGAGAAGACAGATGACTTCGATGGGCTCAAACAGCAGTCCAGACGAGAAGCCAGTCTTGTTAATCTTTGCCACCAGGTATCTTCCAAGACAACCCTGTCTGCAGCCACTATCTCAGAGAGATTCACGCTGTTGGTTCCTCATGCATTTTTCTCTATACCAGAGCCAAAGAGTCCATTCTCCTTGACTATTCCAGGAAATTGAAATCTCTGACATAAAGTCAGAGTTGTTTCTGGGTAGAAGAGTCTTCTTTACTATTGAAAAGACTGGAAAGACATCCTTAAAGCCCAAACTATCCTGAGGCTTTAGCAAGATTCTGAGGGTTATTGCTGTCTGTGTGATTTGGAAAACCTGAAATGCCATTTGTTTTTTTTTTTTTTTTTTTCAAGTCAGAGGGAGAGTGTAGAAGTAGCAGGAGGGAATGCATCACCATTCACAGGGCGCTGGCTTTAAACAAAGGAACTTGAAAGCAGGAACCTGAGGGCCAGTGGAGATAAAGACATAATTGAACTGTCGGTGACAATCATGACACTTTAAATAAGACAAAAGGTTCAAGTGACCTGATTCCACCTAGAGATTTCTGATACTGTAGCAGGTGCCTTTTCTTCATACTTCTGACTCACAAACCATCGGGGACTTCCTAAAGTAATTAGCTCAGAGTCTCTGCTCTGTGAAGCTCTCCCATCCCAAGCTCCACTGTAAGTGGCCACCAGAAAGACCAAGGGAAGAACTTGACACATCATTGAGTACCAACTGTCTCAGGAAGATGGCGGAGTCAGTTCATTTCTTTATTCTGTGACCACATATATGACAAGAAGCCCTGTAGAAAAGAAGAATTCACCATGACTCACAGCTTGAAGCTGGAATCCGTCCTGAGGAAGCATGGCTGTTGCAGCCACTCCCAGCTGTGGTAGAGGAAGTGTGAAGCAGCCTCTACTTTCATGAGCCAGGAATCTGGCAGAAACAGGAAACTGACCTGAGAAAGGGCCAGCCTATCATTCCCAAGGTATGCTCCCACCCCAGTGACACCTTTCCTCCCACTAAGCCCCAACTCCTAACCAGTTCACAACCTTCCCAACTAACAGTAACACCATCTGGGAACCAAATGTCCAAACACATAAGCCTATGGGGGATATTTGACATCCAAACCATAACAGCAGCCTCCATAAGCTGCTCCCGGGTTAGCATGCTTCCCCTACATAACAATACTCAAAAAGTACACCATGGTGATTTCTTTTGAAACCAGTCACCCTTCAGTATGCATGGAGAATTGACTCCAGAGCCTCCTTATATATCCATAAACTTAGTCTTCCATAAAAACGCACAGTATTTACATAGAACCTATGCACAGTCTCCTGTGCACTACAAATAATGTTGAGATAACTTATAGTCCCTAACATGCCTAACTTGCTATCTTAGAGTGTCTATAGCCGTGAAGAGACACCATGACCACGACACCTCTGATAAAGGAAAACATTTAATTGGGATGGCTTACAGTTTCAGAGGTTTAGTCCATTATCATCATGGTGGGACATGGCAGTGTGCAGGCAGACATGGTGCTGGAGAAGGAGATGAAAGTTGTGCATCTTGATGGGTAAGCAGGAGAAGGCCCACCCCCACAGTGACACACTTCTCCCACAAGTCCGCACTCCCTAATAGCACCACTTCCTATGGGCCAAACATTCAGACACATGAGCCGGTAGGGGCTATTCCTATTCAGACCACCACATACAATGTCAGCACTGTATAAAGACTTGTTATGCAGTACTGTGTAAGGGAGAGTGATATTTTTTTAAGCTCTGTATATGTTTATTACAGATGCAATTTTGTAAAAAGTTATTCTGATCTTCAACTGGTTGGATTAATGGATGTGAAAACCACAGACATTTAGGGCTGGCTGCATATCTATCCCTCCAAATTTAACCCCCAATATATTCTTTTCAAAATAATTTAAAAATGAAAATTATTCTCTGAGAGAAATTTCCTTGTAAAAACTCTAGAATGACCAAAAGAAAGGGAGAAACCATTATAAAGAAGGTTCTGAGACACTCTGGGGGGCCTGTCAAAAAGTTCCATTGGTGTTGTTGAGTACTCGCTGATCTTCCAGAATATCTGAGCTCTGTTCCCAGTACCTATACAAACAGCTTACAATCTGACACATTCTTCTGGCCTCTTCAGGCACCGCACCCATGTGTAGACATGCACACACACATGCACGCATGCACAGACACACACATGCACACACACAGACACACGCATACACATGCACAGACACACACATACACACATGCAAACACACACGCACACTTTTAAAAATATTTAAAAAGAATAAAAATAGTCATGTCAAGGTTTTCATTAGTCATCTTCAATGCCTTATTTAATATCAATTGATTGCAGTTTTCTTAGTTCTACCTCATGACTTCCTTCCTGCCATCTGGCAAATCCCTCTCAACTCTGGTTGTATTGATGTAACACACAGTTCCCACGCCAAAGGGAATAAGGAGTAGTTTATTCTGAGCCAAATATGAGTGACTATATATCAGAAGCATGGATTCAGGTTGCCCGGGAATGATACGTTCAACTACAGAAGGGATTTCCTGAGATTTTACAGCCACAGAACAAATAAATTAATGCAGCCTAAGATTTTACCTGATATTTAAGAAAATGTTAAGTTGCACACAGATGTTTATGTGTGGCTACTAAGGCTAAAGACAGCTCAACACAATTTAGGCTCTTAATCTGCACCATTCCAGATCTCTCCAAACACAGAAATTAAGTTTAGACTCTGTATGTATGCATGTATGTATATATGTATGTATGTATGTATATATGTGTGTGTGCAGCTATAACCAGTTTACAGTTGAAATTTGGAGTCGTCTGAACACATAAAGTGCTGGTATCATTCAAATATTCTAATTGTTCCAGGGTGTATCTTGGACAAAGAGGAGTCTCATGCTCTGCCACTAAGCTACTGTATTCTGTGTCTTTTCATTTGTTAATCATGGAATTCCCTTAACAGCATTGTTATAACTGAGGTTTGGAAAACCATCAATTTACTTGAAACCATGCAACCTTCAGATGTAAGACGAGTTCAAAACAGTGAGGCTGGTCCCCATGCCACCCTCTAACCACAAAGCCAATGCCTCCTAGGTAGATTGGGAAGAGTCAATTACACAATGAATTTCAAGTTACTCTGCAAGCTCGGGTGTACATTGGATAGTGTAACGTAAACCATTATGTCTAGCAATGCCTTGGCATTGGCTCACCCCATTCTGGTGCTCCATAATTAAAGACTTCTACTTGGCAGCTAGTCTCAGATAAGTTTGTTCCCTTCGTATCCCATAACATTTCCTTTGTTCAAATGTCACACTGGTTAGCGAGTCTA